AGTGAAGCGTCGTCTGCTCACAGTGATAGGCGTGTCGGTGCGGTTCGGGGGCGTGAGAGAAACTCGAGTTGCCGGACGACTCGATCTTTGACGTCGCTGCACTGGCGCGGATCACGCGAGAACTTTAAATTTGGCTTTGGGAAATTGTTTTTTTACTTCACAAATACTGAGTTCCGAAGTTTCGAATTTTTAGTGTAATGTCCAGGCATCTAAACACGCACTACAGCCCCGGATGTACACGGCGGCTCTGCGGCAGAGTGTCGAACCGAAATTTTTATCGGTTCGGTTCCGGTTCGGGTTCACGGCTTTCGGTTCGGTTCCGGTTCAGTTCCAGGAAGCAAAAAATAACGGTTCAAACCGGTTTAAACCGGTTCGAACCGGTTTGAACGGCTAAATTGAGAATATATTTTCCGCGTTGTTCTGGCAAAATACACTATTTACTCCGTGAAATGATTAACTATATAGTTTCTTCGATAGTCCGTGCAATTTACTTTTGTTTTAGGTACCAAAAATGATTAAATTCAGTGATTTAATTTCGACGCAAGAGTACAAAAAATCTACATTAACATACATAACGTCGTGTTCATACGACTCCACATCCTTTTGTTTACCAGTAACATATATTTTACCTGAATCAAAATGTTTAAGTACAAGAGCAAAGAGTTGAACTGGTTGGTACATACCTGTAAATAGATCAGCTTCAAATTTAGAACTGTACTGTATTTTATTGTGCTTTCTTCGGGTTTAAGTAAAATTCAAAATTACAAGCTGATCTATTTACGCGGTATAAAATGTTGTCGCAAAGTGTGGTAGGTCGCCTAAAATACCCGTGATTGGTACAACTTTGTGTCGCAGTGCTAACAATGAAATCGTGATTGTGTCCTTGAACTAAGGAATTAATTACATCACATAAAATCATGAAATAAGCACCTCATGCTCATGCTAATTATGAAATAAGGTTCACGAAATACACTTCACAATATATATGTATATGATGACGACCCAACTGAGCTAAAAGCAATGAAATCTTCAGAATGTAAACCAAAGTTTTAAGATAATTCCTTTCAGTCTATTTTTTATAGAAACACCGAGCAGCAATCCAAATGCTTGTTGTTCTAACCAAACACTGTTTACACTCAGCACCGCATGCATGCCACTAATCATGCAGCAAGAAGTAATCGCAATTTTCACTTTAACCTATACGCACCTTCGCATTCAGATCGAATCTGGCCCAAAATAGCGCTTGCCGAAGTGAACATTTTCTTATGCAGAATAAGCTGGCATTGCCTGGCTGTTGAGGTTTGTTCTCGACAAGATGCCGGTCAATTTAATTTGCAAATGAGCATCACCTTTGCTAACTGATGATTTTAACTCGATAGCGTTAAGGAGCTCATGTCGCAGAAAAGCCGATGTCGGTGGCGTGACTGGAAAGTCCTGATTGGTCGATAGGTTCATGACGTCAGAGCTACATACCCTCGTGCAAGAATTTCAAGCAACCCACAATGCTCACGTGAAACGTGACATCACACGGGGAATGAGAGTGATTAAAACATGACATGTAATGCGAATCAAAGGTCGCCGTATGTCTTAAATGATTTCACCTTTGAAACTGATTATTTTGCCTTAAAGAAAAAAAAAAAAATTTAGGTGGGATTCGAACCCACGACCCTTTAGTTACCAGTCGTCAGACGCTTTTCAATAAGAACGGCGCGAGCCTTTGGCACGACAGAAACGTGCTTTTTGGTAAGAGCATTTTTGCAAGCAAAGTAGTTTCCGGAGTCATGCTTTTTGGTCTGCGCCAAAAATTCAGGGAAGAGGAACCTTTACAACACAGTATGTTTTTAAAACGTCATGTTAATAAGTCGCATTTGGTAATGTCAGTACTTCTATTCTCGGGGACATCTTTCGGATGCGGTTCAGCAAACACGAAAAAAATATTTGGGTGCCTCAATAATGTAAAATCGGTCTTGCAACATTTTTTTTTGTACGTTCAATAAATAGTGTTAAGAAATAACCCCTAACGTTGATATAGCTTGCGGAAACATCCATTAGTCTTCCCCTAATAGCAGATGCCGAAAAAATAAAGGAAAGAGACAGCTGTCGAAATCTCCTCAACTCGAAATTTAAACAAGCGGCCACGTGATCTGATACCGCCAGTGTTCATCACAGTTATGCTCTAGGCGGCTAGGGTTTGCAAAGCAAAAGCTTGGGCTGAGCTTCAGATATTGTTAGAGTTGGGCTATTATCATATTTGACTGAACATGAGCCGTTACCCGAATGTTTGGCGGTGCTGATTGTCATGAACCCAAGCACTCGACTAGGGGTTATGAAAATCGCTTACGTATAGAAAGCACATATAGAAAGCACAGTCGCCAATGCATCAAGGAAACTGGGTTTCTTGAAACACCACATTCATTCCGCCCCACAATCGACAGAACTTCTTGCTTACAAAACTATTATCCTTCCGAAGCTAGAATATGCTAGTGTAATATGGAATCCTCACCAAAACTACTTAACGCTACAATTAGAAGGTCTACAGAATAAAGCTGCACGCTTTATCTGTCATGAGTTTTCGCCCCTAACAAGCGCCACTGGTCTAAAAAGAAATTTGGGTTTATACCCGTTAGAAACGCTGCGCAAAATTGCTCGTTTATGTTTTTTTCATCAAATATATTACGACGAAACACTATTTAGCAAATTCTTATGTTCGCCCGCACAGTTCACGTCTGCTAGGCTTGATCACTCGTGCAAAGTGGAACCCATTAAATCACGCACCAACTTGTTTACGTTTTCTCCACTCGCATTATCTATAAAAGACTGGAATAGTCTTCCTAACGACGTTGTAATTTTATCTGACCCGAATCGATTTAAGCAGAGGTGTGAAGAACTGTTTTGTTAATTTGTTGTTCCCTGATATCCTTTTGTATTTTTAATAATCGCCTTCTATCCCATTGTTATTTTTGTTGTATTTTAGAGTACGGAATTCGCTTATGTTCATCTGTTGGTTTACATTCTGTGTGTATGGCGTTTGCTGTGTTTTCTATGTGAAAACAAGCCCAAGATCATTCTTTACTCATGTAATGTGTATATCGCGACTTTTCCCCATTTTTTGCTATCCCCCCTCATCTAACGCATCGCCAGATGCCTTTGAGGACAATAAATGAAATGAAATTAAATGAAAGTCACGGTGTCACGTGACTCTCGGTGCGAAATCGTGATGTCACGTTATGTCATGCTGTCAACAATGTTATAATATCTAGTGACTTCCTCAAACTAAATCGAGTTGACGCAGTGAGTCACGTGACGTCACGTGACATTACTTGACAACATGTATTGACACCATGACGTCACGTGACAACGTGACACATGGTTAATCATAGTGCCATGAAAACCCACAACTTACCATACTTTTCAATTCTGTATATGACGATTTGATTCATAGATAGAAATACAGCCGCCAATTTTTTATTTCCATAGGTTCAATCTGTGGTACTAACAAAAAAGAAAAAAAAAAGAAATATTACCTTGAACCGTTTTGAACCGGTTACCGCTATATTTTTTTTCGGTTCGGTTCCGGTTCAGTTCCAAGATGGCGGTGAAGATTTCGGTTCGGTTCAGTTCCGGTTCGGCTAAAAATAACGGTTCTGCTCCGGTTTTCGGTTCGGTTCGGTTTTGGTTCGACACCCTGCTCTGCGGTAGCGTGGGCTGGATGATTCGGGCGTTTCGAGGGCCTTCGGCGAGCAGGTTTGGCTTGGCGGTTCGGCAGCGGGAACTGACTCCCGTAAAGATCTTTCCCCCGTATTTTCTGTCGCTTATGTCGAATAAAATGCAGTGCACAATCAACGAATACAACGCCAGTAGCGCAGCGAATGCAATGCGAGACGCCCTGGCCACCCGCTACATTCAGCCCATTCTTGAGTGGCTCCCTTTTGTGCCGTCGACAGGAAGTGCGGCAACCGCGAACCCTCGTTGGGCTTTAACCTGGCTCACTTTAACTCTCGTTGGGCTTTAACCTGGCTCACTTTAACCTGGCTCAGCAGCTACAAACATCCGCAGTGCAACTGTAGTGGCCTAAGTCACTGTAGTTCGAGAAAAGCGTGGGTACGAGCGCGTGACTTCGGAAAGTGCCTCTTATGCACAGGTTCTCGTACAAACAAGAGAATTCTGGTGAGCTATGCCTCACACGCCCCTGCCTTTGTCATTACTGCAGACATATGGGAGATAAAGTATAGGTGGCGCTCACTTTTGAAAAGGGTCTACGCTCGCATAATGTAAGGGGGAATTTAAAAAAAAGAGAGAACGACGTAACCGCCATTATTATATTTTGCGTCGGTAAAAATAACACCAGAACGGCAGTAACAAGGTTAATTTTATATTCTTGTTGTTATGGTCGTAATATGGAGATTATATTTCTGACAATATGTACTTTGCAAAGCGGTGAGCGCCTTCCGAGGCATCGAAAGGAATGCCGGGAACTCAAGGTAGAACCGGTTGTAGCAGACGACGGAAGCGACCTTGAAGGCGACGGCGAGCGGGCAAAGAATGAAGAGCAACTGCGCTACACTCCCGCTTCCTTCAGTGTCACGTGGGGGCAAGGAAGAACGTAGAGGACTTCGCGCGCGATGTTTTGGGATTAAAAAGGGGGAAAAAAAGGTTCGTTTAATATTTGAGACGTACTCCTTTTTTTGCTGATTAGATTTTGTTTCACATGGAAATTATGATAGGACTATTTCAGTTGCAATCATTTTAAGGGTGGTGCGTTGCGTTTAATGTATGTCGGACAAAACAAGAACGAAAGGAAATCGAGAACATCCGGGAAAGTATTTTCTTTCCTAACCTTTCCAGACTTTAAAACCCTACTAATTAAAAAAAAAAAAAAGACGTTTTAAAGAATTTGGGCAGTATTTCGCGTCATCTGGTGGCCACTTTAAACGCCGCCCCTGCCTGCCCGGAGGTCCCGGACGTTCGATAACGGAGCAGTTTCTTGCGTCTGCCTCCAGATGGCGTGAGCCTCCTGTGTGGCGACACTGGCGTCGAACCGGACCGCCTTGAAGAAGAGGTCTTCCTGGTGCAGAGTGGATACCGCTACGGCTGGACCGATCTCAACAGAGCACCGTGCCTGTCACACGACGCCTGCGCGGGAACCGGTAATAATAATAATAATAAGAATAGTAATAATAATAATACCCAACCTTCTTGGACATCTATGCCTCAGGATGTGCACTAAATGAAAATTTCAACTGAGCAACTACAGACATCGCAATGTTACCTGGAAATATTTCAAATTGGAGTCATAAAATATCATTAAGCTGTAATTAAACTTTTGTACGCGTAAAGATTTTATTCCACGGCTCTACAAACGTTTTTTTTTTGCATTGAATGGTATTGGTAACGTTCACAAAATGATTAATTTCTGCTTTTCTACAAAAAGTCGTAATGTTACCGATGACTGTAAGTCTGTAATTGCCTGTGTATCATAAAACGGAAATCATAAAGAATTAAAATATTTCGTTGAAAACCTTTTTGCCACGGAATGTCCCAGAAAGTTGGTCATTGATAATAATAATAATAATACTAACAATAATAAAGTTTATTTTCCATAAACTATAATAAGGGACCCAAGGAAAATAACTGGTGTACAGATTGACAAGCTCTGGCATGGGCAGTGGTCACAAAGAATATACCGTGTTGCTTCGCACTGATGTTGAACACAGATGAACTTGGTACGCCAAACAATATCGCCCCATGTGAATCAGGCGTAAGTCAGGTTATGTCCTAGCGCACCAAAGGAGGAATTTAGGTGTACTGGCGCAGAAGCCTTTTGAATCATACTAGAAACTCTTCTCCTAAAAAAAGAAAAGAAAGTAATGAAGCGGAGGGAACGGCGTTTGACCTATACCGTGATCCCTACCCACATGAAAGTTTCAATTGTTCAATCATAAACGCGTTGAGCGTTAATTTAACTGGAATCCCCATGAAAGGCATATGGCTTCGTCCAGGTCCCAATGGTATGGTGAAAGACGATCTCCCCGTGTTCCGGTACACACGGGAACAAGGACAGGCCATCGTCGGAGGCATCGTGTACCGGGGCAACGCGTTGGATTCCACTCTGCGAGGGAAGTTCATCTATGCGGATTTTGTGCACGGGTGAGTGAAAGCTCCATGCCTCTGGAGCTCACGGATGTTGATCTCAAGGATGTTGGTCGCAAAGGCGAATAGCCCCACTATACATAGCTTGAATTGTCGGCCATTGTGGAGACCTTGCAGCTCAGCTCATACCTACCTGCTGCATATATACCGCGGATCATCTAATTTGGTTTGCTTGGCAAGAAAGGATATGAACGACCACAAGTATGGCGCGACGACATCACGTGCGAGTCATTTGCATACTACACAATGAACATGGTAATGAACAGCGTACAGAAGACAAAGACACAGTGAAAAAAAAAGAAAAGAGAGGACAAGCTCTTGTCTTGTCTGTTTTCTTCTTCTGCGTATTTGTCTCTTGTGCGCGGTTTATCACATTGCTCGAAGTGTACCAACTCGCCCAACTCACCACATTGCTACATATACTATACAGGGTGTCATCGAAAACCACTAAATCAGTCAATTTTATGGTGCACTGAATCATGCGGGAACCCAAGGGTGCACCAGAGTCACCACTAGTGAAACATTTAAAGCTAGCGGGGGGAAAAGGCGAATTATTTTATTATCAACATCAATAATTATATCATACGGGTTTTTCCGCCACTAGCTTTGAGCCTGTTGCACTAGTTGTGACTTCCGTGCACCCCCGCACTTTCCACGTGCTCCAGGTCGCTCTAAAATTGACTGATTTATGGTTTTCCACAACAGTCAGCAAGTTTTTAATTCGAACGATGGGCTTATTTTCACTAATTGAAGGGTCGACTAAAAATATTTTGTTAATTATTTGACTTATCGTGGGGATTAGCCCCGTATATTATGTCCCCTTAGACGTGTAACTCACCTGCACAAACCGCAGTACTGTACCTTTAACAGACTTTTTTGCTATAAGTCCGTTGTAATTAAAGGTTAAACACCCTGCATAATGATTGAGAGGGGTTTTAATAACGGTGTAGCATAGGTATAATCATAAACAAAAGCTATATTGTTAGGTTACTTGATTATTTCATCTGGAGATCAATCGAAAATCTTACTTTAGAAGTTACGGTTGCTTTTCCCAAGTACTTAGCGTCTGCGTATGAAGTGCCGCAAGATAAGCACACACAGTGCAAGCTTGTCGCACCTTCTTTTTTATTTGCAGAGCTCTCGAGGAAGTTAGCTTAAATTTCTAGATTTGTATTATGTGACGAACTGAAAATAAAAACCAGAACGCGATTTCAGTGAGAAAGAACAGTATGCTTGCTAGGAACTTTAAGTTGTAACCTGAAACGTCTGGTCGGAACATTTCACTGTTAACTTCGTACGCTGCGATAAAACTGCTTCAAAACTACCATAACGAAAGACAAAAAAAAAACAAAAAAAAACATTGTTTACGATTGCTCTTGTTTTGTTGCTCGATCGTGATGTGTGTTTTCTAACTCTGCAATAACGTTTCTTAAGGTTTCTTTCAGCGGATGTTTCTTTCTTAAGACCCGTTCACACACTAGCGTTTTTCGTAGGACCGCGTGCCTTCAAACCTCTTGAAATCTCCTAGGACGAGAGAACACACTAGCACACTGGCGACATCTATGAGATGAGCATGGAACTCCATTTGACTAGAGCAAAGGTTTTTCGGTATTTGCAAGATTAGATGTACGTAATCTCTATAAAAAACAAAACAAAACAATTGTTTATAACATTGTCAAAAGATTTTCAAGCAAAAAAAAATATGCGCAAAAAAGTTGTACAAAAACTGAGTTTTCCACGGCTACCAGATAGATTGCGCCAGTGTGTTATCCTGTCTTAAAGGGGCACTCAAGTGCTTTTTGGAGAAGCTTGTTTTTGGAAGCATATTGTTTGTTGGGCTTCAGTCAATAAAAATGACCAGTTCTAAATGGCAAGGCGCCCTTGTAAACTCACAGCAATAGAAATACACAGGCACTATATCCTCTTGCGGGGTCCATCCCGTGTCTCCACCACCTCCATAGAATTCGACCAATAGAAATAGCGAACTGCGAAAAGATTGCTAAAGTTATTATTATTGCTCTTTTTAGGCACATGCACATTATATTTTGACAACAACGTCAAATCTTTGGCTGTAGGTGACGTAATACAGCTATTATTGTTTGAAAAAGAGCGAACTACGTTTTCTCCTCGCCTTGTTACGCGGGAGTGATGTGCCCACGCACATCACTCCCGGGTGTGCTACAGGCCAGCTGTAGCACACCCGGATCGAGGCACAGCCCCTCGAAATCCGGGTGGCTTGTCACGCAGCTCTGCCGGCCCGGCTGCTTGCGAACGGCGGCCGGGTAGTCACGGCAGCAGACACACTCTGCGACGGTTTCCATCGGCACGCAGCAACTTCATTGGCACCTTAAAACAGAAAACCAGCATCAGCTGTACATATGAGAGGTATAATAAACAGCTCATCACCTACCAGTTGGTGTTCCCAAGCCGCTGGGTTGCGTCGTCGGTTTCGTCGTCTTCCTCCGGTGTCGACATTGAGCATCGCGAACTGTCGTCCGAGTCCGTCGCGTTGGAGGCATCGGCGTCGCGCGTAGGAAAGGCGTCGTAGGAGATTGAGCTGATATCTGCCGTCCGCCGAAGAATTTCCACCTCCAACGGTGTTAGATTTGGCAGGTCCATCTCCGCACGACGCAAGACCCGAAGTAAACAAAATGAGTCCCAACGAGAATCCATCAAATACGCGCACATTCGGAAGATCACTCCGCCGGTTCGAAGGATCAATCCGCCGGGAAGCCGTCACTCGTGATTGGATGGCGCACGCCCTTCCCTGCTGCCTTCCCGTCCGACAGCGCCCCTGACGGCCTCCGCCTAGCTGCAGAACAGCGATCTTTGATTGGATTTTTAATAGGGAAATCGGCCGCCCTTGAATGTAATTTTGGGATTTCTAGGATGCTTAGAGCCCGCAGATTGAGTTATGACAATAAATAGACGATCTCAGAATCCACTTGAGTGCCCCTTTAAGAGATTTTAGGAGGTTTTAAGTCGCAAGTGTGCGAATGGGCCTTGAGTGTACTCAAAGGTTTAGGCTGCGTGAAGTTGTTCAGTCTCCAAATGGCTTGTAATATTTTCACCGTCCAGGGGCGGATCCAAGGAAGGGGGGCGACGCAGGCGGCCGCCCCCCCCCCCCAACGAAGTCGACTCCCCCCCCCCCCCCCCCCCCCCCTTCCCCCTTCTCGGATGGCGATTTGACATGGGTGGACCCGCCCGTGCACAAGAAACCCCCAATGGGAGAATAGTATCTTTACGAATTTTCCGCCCCCCCCCAAAAAAAAAAAAAAAAAAAAAACAGAAAAAAAACAACAAAAAAAAAACGAAGTTCTGGAACCGCCCCTGCCGTGGGCACAGTTCGGCCGATACAGTACAACTGCTATGGTCACTGACGGTATGAGAAATGCAGGAAGGAAGGAAGGAACATACTTTATTTACAGCAGCTCATTGTCCGAGCCGCGTTTTTTGGTTTTACCGCTTCTATATGGTGTTTGTAGTCAGGTTACGAGAAGTGTCCGTCCTAGCTTGCATGCTCGTTGTTGTTGCATGATGTTAATCCGAGGACATGTTCGACATGGTTCTGCAGTTGTTTCCATAAGGTAGCTTGCAGGTCCTGTGGCGGTGCTGCCCAGCTCTCCCACGTGTGGGGGATGTGGAGTGGTAGCTGAGTTTCTTCAAGAATATATGGCGAGTTCTGTGCCCTCGGGCACTCCCAGTATGTATGCCTGTTATCGGGAGGTTGTGCTCCGCACACTTGACATCTGGGCAGTCCTCCGAGGTTGTGTATGTAGTGTAGCGTCATATCACACGGGAGTGAGTTTGTTTGTGCTTGCCGTATGAACGTGGCTTGTCTGCGCGGTGTACTGTGTAGTGGAGTGGGAAATTTGCGCTGCTCCTCTCTCATCTCCTTGAGGAAGGTCCTTCGTTTTTTTCTCTGCTCCGCTCTGTCTTCTCTTGGGTCGTAGGCCTGCGGCCAACCGATTGGTACGCTCGGTTCTGTGTTATCTCGAGACAGGGCGTGCGCCCTTTCGTTCCCTTCGATTGCCTGGTGGCCTGGTACCCACTCGAGGTAGATGCGCAAGTGGGGGTGATTGGTCATGTATTGGGTGAGGAGTCCTAATATGTGTTCAGGTAAGTCGTTTTTAGCGTAAGCCCTGAGCGCGTCCTGGCTGTCCGTTCTAATCGTGAGCTCATTCGTTGTGTGTGAGTGGAGGGTTGCGGCTTCGGCGATCGCCTGTATTTCGGCTGCTGTCACCGATGGGACGTTGGCATGACGCCTGACGACGTGGCCTTTGGGACCCACCGATGCGGTGGTGGCATTACTGTTCGTGAAGCTTGCGTCCGTGTAGTAGATGTCATGGCAAGGGTCTTTTAGATGCGTCGCTCTGCTCTTTCTTCTTTCTGAGTCTACTTCTGGGTGCATATGTTTGGGGATGGGGCGTACTGTAAGATGTGGGATGGACTCCCACGGTGGTGGCGGGGTGGGGATCTCTGGGAGTCGCTCAGTTGAGTATCCAAGACTGCTCAAGATTTTCCGCCCTTGTTGGGATGTGGTCAGTCTGTGTCTCTGAGCCTCTTGTTGGATCTCGGACTTTTCCTCAAGGGTGTTGTGGATAGCTGTGGCGTTCACTAGTGCAGTTGCTGCGTACTTAGGCGTTCCTAGTTCTAGACGGTGACATTTCCGCAGCACTGCTTTAATCTTCCTCTTTTGCGTTTGGGTTAGTTGTGTGTATGGATAAGAGTACATGACTCTGGAGTACGCCGTCGCTTCAACTATTTTCCTGAGTTCGTGCTCTTTCATTCCGCGATTGTAGCGCGTGATACGTGCTATCATGTTGTAGATCTGATTGAGTTGTTTTACCGTCTTTGCGGTCCACTCCGTGCTTTTGCCGTCCTGTTGCCAGATAAATCCTAGTATTTTTATAGTTGGCCGACGGGGTATTAACGTGCCTCCTATGTGGAGGCTCATAAGTTTACGCTGTTCCTCTGCCATTTTCTGTCGTGGGTGGTTTATAACTACAACATATTCCGATTTGTCCGGTGAGCACTGGAGCCCTATGGCGTTTGCGTGTTCGTGGATGATGTTTAGCCCCGTTTGTATTGTTTCTTCTTGTTGTCCCGGGTTGCCTGTCGTACACCAGATGGAAATGTCATCCGCGTATATAGCGTGGTGGAGATTTGGGATGGCGTTGAGTTTAGTCGGGAGGTTCTTCATTGTTAGATTAAAGAGCATCGGCGATAGTATGGAGCCCTGTGGTGTTCCTCTACATAGGGGATACGGTTCAGAGGGTTGACCCTCAGGATCCAGTATTCTCACCGTTCTGTCCTTGAGGAAGTTCTTTACGTATCTGTGCATTCTATTTCCAGGGTTCGTTTCGCGAAGGTTTCTGAGGATAGCCTCGTGCGTGACGTTATCGAAGGCTCTTTTTAGGTCCACCGCAACTATGGTGCGCTGTTGAACCGTGCTGGGGTTGTCGTACACCTGTTCTTTGATCATTTTTGCTACGTCTTGTGTACTGACGTGCTTTCTGAACCCCACTAGGGTGTGCGCCAGCTGATTCGTGGCTTCCAAGTGCCATTCTAGCCTGTTTAATGCCATCTTTTCCATTAGTTTCCCCATGCATGACGTCTTGGATATGGGTCGGAGGTTTGCTGGCGTGTTGGGAAGTTTGCCTGGTTTGGGAAGCATGATTACGTGCGCTTCTTTCCATTCTTCTGGTAGCTCTCCCGTTGCCCACACCTCGTTGATGTGTCGTAGGAGCTCGTCGAGCTTGTTGTCAGGGATGTTTCTGAGCATTCCGTATGTTATTTTGTCCGGCCCCGGCGCCGTGTTGCGCTTTAGCTGGAATAAGGCCGTTTGTAGTTCTGCATCGGTGAAGTCCGAGTCTATCCCTTTGATCTCTTCGCTTTCTTGCGCGGTTTGGACTTCTCGATCTAAGCGGGTTTCTGCCGTTGGTAATTGCTGTGCCATTGTCTGCGTTTCGTTTGGGTAGAACGTGTCCCTGATTTCTCCTATGAGGTCCTTCACGGTGGCTCCTGTGCTCAGCATAAGTTTCTTGAGCGTGTTCCTGGGTTTACGGTGCCCCATGATCGCGCGTAATATGTGCCAGGCTCTGACCGTGTGTAATTGACCGTTCATGTCATCGCAGAGTTGCATCCAGTTTTGGCTGGCCAATTTTTCCGCGTATTCCTGGCTCTCCTGAGTTAAGGCCAGTATTCTCGCCTTGAGGGTTCTGTTGTTCTTTCTCTTTTTGAGGCGTTTTGTGAGGTTTCGTCGCTTCGTCCATAGAGTCATTAGGTGTTGATCGACCGTTGGGTGGTCTTCTGTGTTCGCAATGTGTTTGGTGTGACGGTTGACCGTCTCTTGGATCGCTTCTGTCCAATCTTTGCATCCGAGGTGCTTCCAATCCACCCCTTGAAGTTCCTCTCTGACCTTGTGCCATGCCGTCAGCTTCGTCGTTCTGAGACGTTCTTTCCGTCCCCTTTTCCTTGGAGTGATTTTTATTTCTATTATTTGGTGATCGCTGCCGAGCGCATCTCCTGTGTTCTCCCACGTCGCCCTGAGTGGGCCCTGAATCCACGTTAAGTCCGGAGAGGTGTCCGTTTGGTGCGGTCCACCAGTGCGCGTTGGCTGCGTCGTATCATTTAGGAGGGTCATACCTTGATTGGTTGAGAAGTTCTGTAGCTTTCTTCCTAGTGGCGACGTGACCGCATATCCCCAGGATGGGTGTTGACAATTGAAATCTCCCAGCGTTACCACCGTGTCCTTATCTCTGTTGGGTCCTAGTTTCATGTCCAGGGGCGGGAGGCGTGCAGTAGGTTGGTTAGGTAGCCAGTAACTGTTGATTATATGTAGCCTTTGCTCTCCCAGGAGTGTGCTGGTTGCCACATGCTCCATTGTGGGTGTGTTGATTGCCGTTGTATCATACTGTATAGAGGGAAGGTCGGCATCTCGTCTCCTGATGTACGTGGCTACCATAGTAGGGGTTATCATCACGTTCTGCCCGGTAACCCGTTGATTGTGTTGGATACTCGGTTGCGTGTACATGTCGTACCCCTGTATGGCGTGAGCTCCGTTTGTTTCCTGCAGGACTATTATGTCCGGTTGTGTTCCAATTATTTGCATATGTTGCAAGAGGTGACTCCTTTTTCGTCGGAACCCTCTGCAATTCCATTGCCATATGATTATTTCGTCGTTTTTGTCTCTTGAGGTTGTTTTTGCTTGGTACGTCGTTGGTGTGCTGTTGTGTGGCGGGTTTGATTGTTGTCCCGCGTTTGTGTTATTCATTGTCATGTTGTTCCATGTTCGCGTTGACGGGTGCGGGCATAGCGGCGCGCTTGTGTGGTCTGAGTTGCTCCTGGTGGGCCGCTAGTTCTGCTTGTATTGGTGCTAGCGCCAGTTGGATCATTTGTTGGAGCATCGGGGCAAGTGCGGTTAAGATGGTGGGTATGGACTCTGCTATTATACTGGATATCTTTTGGCGTAGTTCGGTGTAGTCATTTGTATTGGTTTGCTGGTATTCTTGCGAGGGCGGTGGGCTTGGTGCTTGTATTGTGGCGGGTTTTAGAACCGTTAGTGAGGAGGGAGAGGGTTGTGAGGCCGTGCCACTCAACTGAGTGTCCATGGGTTGTGCCACTCCCTGCATGTTCGGGACCACCCGTGGGTGACTGCTACTGCTATTTTCCTGGTGGGCTCCTGTTGTTTGTCCTCCTTGGCCATGTGTTCTGGATGCCTGTTTCTGGAACCACGGGTTGTGTGAGGGTTCTTGGAACCTGGTCCGTTTTTGTTGGTCGTGTTGTAGATGTTGGGGTTTTCTTTGATTTGCCCTACTGCGGCTTCTGGCTCGTTTGTCGAGGGTCACATTTTGCTTGGCAGTGTTGGATCCCCTACCCCTGCTGTAGCTTCGGCTGCGGCTCCTGCCTCTGCTGAGGCTGCGCGATGGGGCATCTAGTAGCTCAAACCTGTTGCTTATTGGGAGGTCCGGCCATTCCTGCGGGTTCTGCTTCGGGTTTGTGTCTGGTGATGGTTTCGTGTTCAGTTGGTGGGCTCTTGCTTGACGTGCTTGACGTGCTTCGAAGCGTTCCTTTATAGCTTCCGCTACCGCCTGTTTGGCTGGGCATTGCGGGTCCGTGGCGGCGTGATCACCTTTGCAGTTGGCGCATCGTAGCTCGCAATCGTGCGGCGTCTCGTTTGGATTTTGTTGCGGCGGGAATTGTTTTCCGCATGCTGTGCAGCGTGTGTAGTCATTTTTGCACGGACATACGTCCGAGTTATGTTGGAGACTGAGGCAGTGCGCACACTGCCTATTCCGTTGTCGCGGTGGGTACATGCGGTACACTCCCGAGTCGTATATGGCGTACCTTGGAAGCGACGGACCCTCCACGGTGATGAGAATGGTTTTCGTCGTACCGAGTCGCCTGAATCCCAAGACCGTTCGGTTCTGTACTCTAAGGTTCTCCTTAATGATGTCGTCAGTTGCGTCCAGCGGGATGCCGTGAATTACTCCTCTCGCGTTTTCTGCAGCGTTCGCCACGTATGCACTGATGAAGTGTGTAGTGCCCACTACTTGAATTCGTTGCGTTGTCAGGATTTTTTGTACTGCCGTAGCTCTGTAACTGTCCACGATGAGGAGATTCTGCGGCGCTCGGAGTTTGAAGTAGGTGTCTGCACACTCTTGTTTGGTGAGGGCTGCCGCCATTTTGAGGGCGTTGGTTAGTGCGGCGAGGCCTATCGAGGCGAGGTGCTCGTTGTTCGTCAGCTTCAGCACGACCGTCGTCGCCTTGATCTGTCTTGGTGCCGGAGTGGCGAGTTTCCACTCCGTTGTTCGCGAAGTTGAAGAATCCTGCACGTCCATGATGGATAGGTGAGCGCTATCGGCGGTGCGGACTGTTATAGATGTGCGGGGGACGCCCTGGGCCGTCCCGGGTGAAGCTCCGTTGGCGTTAGGCCTCGCTGCACAGCTGTGCAGCTGCCAGGCTTAGCTTGGTGGGCCGGTGTGGCCAGTGATCGAGGGCTGATTACTCACCCGAAAGTGATCGTTGGGTCGGAAGTTTCAGTTTCTAGGTTGTCGATGATCTCCACTCAACTCCCTGCTGCTTTTCTGTAGATTCCGCGGTGTCGAATTGGGAATATTCGACCTTGAATCGGGAACTTGACATGGGCTACATGTTCCACATCGCCTCGTCGTCGTCGTTTTCTGCAGGAAGCCTCTATCAGACGCCCAGCCTCCAGCACGCGCTCGTTGCCTTCCACCGTGCTTTGGCTGCGCGTGCACTCTCGAACCCGACGTGCCTCAGAAGCGTTATCGAAGGTAGGGTGCACGCGCCGAAGGCGGGAAAACTGATTGAACTTGCTGCAGTTCTCGCCCGGTGAATGACAAAACTTGGGATCTTTAGCATGCACCACGCAGATATCAGTCGCTTTAATTAATGCACCTTGTTGTGGAGCTGGTCTTTGGTGGCAAGCAGAGCTAAAAAGTGGAAACCTCCTTCCGTGGCAACCGGCACAGTTCACTGCACGCTCTGCAGCCGGGGACACCGGGACAGCGGTCTTGGTCGTCGGAAGACATCTGCTTGAAGCCGTGCGACGAATCCGAGGACGCTTTCTCGTCTTTCTACGTCCTGGGGATAGCAACGGACAGCGTAGGTGAGGCACTTCTGGCCGGTTTACGCGACTGTCCGGTCCCCATGTGATCGACCATGTAACGCTCTGAAAAGATGGCGTCATGCTCAAGGTTTTATTTGTTTTTGTTAGTTTAAAACGACGCAAGTATTGTGAAAATCAGCTTGGAACTTGCAGTCCTAACGATGGTACAAAAGGATCGTATCGTCTTGTTCCACTATGGTTTCTAATAGCTTCAGAAAAGCAGAGTGGAGTGAGCCGCGAACATTTTTTTTATCGCTCCATATAGCCGATGACGATGACATTGCGGCATTGGCCGATTGGAATATCGAAGGACGAATCGATAGGTAAAAAGCATAAAGCATGACCATAATAAACCACACCCAGCGTTTCTTAGGCCCATCCCAGCATTTGTCTGACGCCACAACGTAATCAACTTTGTTGGCTATTTAAGTATACTCTTACACAGTACCGTTCGTATACAAATATTCTATCTTGTGTGATGCTCAAGTCTAAGAAAAAAATATTTATAACTAATGGTGTGTATTTGACGTGGTTGCAAACAGTGTTTGTTGTCTGTTGCTACGGTGAGACGAGGTTAGGGAGGTCACATGTGCGCCTTTCTCTTCGTGCTTTTCCGCATGTTGCCTCCAGGATTGTTCGTCGTGCATTGAACCGTCAATAAGGCAGGATTTTTCACTAGCGTTCTTGCTGAAAGCGAACGGTGCCCTAAGCCGCTGGGCGCCTCGCTGCTGACTGCTGTGCTAACTGCTTTGAGCACGGCTAGCCAAGACACAAGATGAACACCTTTCAAGGCTACAGATCATATACCAGGGGTGGTCAGAGAGTTATAATGCAAAGAGACATAAAGTAGCAATTTTTAGTGTAGGGCCGTATTAAAACTAGAGCGTGGCAAGTTTTTATTATTTATTTTATCTGTGGCGGCACGCTACAACGAGCAAAGAAGACGAAGTACACCAGCACGTGAGTATATAGCCACTGGCACGCAGGACCTCGAGATGAGTGGACAATCGGCTACGCAGTCTACATTTTACAACCGATAATTACTTTGGCTCTTTTGTGAATAATGTAAAATATAAATTTGTTAACAAACGGGAACACCTTTTTGTTACACACCTATAAAGCGATTGCTCATTATGCTTATTTATTGTGTGTCCTCTTGGTAAAATAAGCTCATTGGAGTTCGGCTCGAATGACGCCGGAGCAGCCATGAGCAGATCAGTTAGGTATTGGTCTTTCAAGTTGCTGGCTATTTTTTTCTTACTGCCTACATTGCTGAGGAGAGTGCCTCACAGCAGTGCCACAAGGCTGCCAAACCTCAAGCTGTCATTTATTCTACATCTTTTCGTTTGTGGTATTGCGGGAAGGAGGAAAAGGGGGGGGGGGGGGTTCGTTTACTAGAGATCCGCAGGTCGCACTCGGACCCGCGAGAAGCCGCATGCAGCTCGAGAGCTGCAGTTTGGCCACCCCTAATGTTTACGAACACTGACAGCAGAATAAACGCGCATCCCCACATAGCCAGAAAAAAGAAGAAAAAAAAAAAAGGGGAAGGGGGATAAGCAGTTGTTACGTTCAGAAAATAGACGACGTATTATCCAACAGAGAGCACACGTAAGCAAAGACACATCGTGCGATAAATCTAGAACCAGGTTAGGGAGTTTCAGATTGTTTTTGCGGCCACGATATCAGTATCGGATAGCGCGTTTCTACCAATCGGAAGTGTGCTTTGAGCACTCGGCGAAGCGGTATCGCAGCCACAAAAAACTTCCAATAAACTTCCGCTAAAACTTCCAGTAGTGTTCTGTTTCCACCCAATGGGCTTGAACGACGTGACTGTCACGTCGAGCACCTCACGTATCAGATAGTTATGTAGATGTCGCAATCGTCATGAAGTACCCGTTCATTGCCGTCTGACGTAAGGAGGCAGTGATTGTGATAAAATAGTAAGGGTGCAGGCGAGCTGGTGGATGTTAACCATGTTGAATATACCTGAGACTGGGGTAGAAAGGAACATAAAAGTCGAAGAAACAGAAAGATACAGGACGACGTCTCAAAGTCAGCCGAGTTTGAGACGTCGTCCTGTCCCTTTCTGTTTCTTCGACTTTTATGTTCCTTTCTACCCCTGTCTCAGGTATATTCAACATGGTTAGCAGTGATTGTGTCTACTTCAGGTCAGACAAGTCGCACAGGACAATTGTCACCAAGTGACACTGCCAACCATGTTACCAATGTTAGCTTGTGGCCTTTTTTTTTCTTCTTCTTTTTGTGTACGTTTTCACAGGCGAGCTGAAGACCCGAGCACCTTGGTGTGTATGCGCGTCTATCTGTGTCGGCACTTCTCCATATTCTTAAATTCTCGACGCCTACTTGAAAGGGCCTTTGGCCTAGGGTCAGTGTAAATGAGGGCCACTAAAGTAATAATTTTATGAACCATTGTGCCTTGAGGCTGGAAGGCTCTAGCAATGTAGCGGCTTTTATGTAATAATGTAACCGTGTATGGTTGGTGTTGCTGCCTTTGAGTTCACCACCAGGACACGTTAACATACTGTTCTTTTTTTATATACACTTAGTTCTCGGGCACGGGAAAGAGCATTTACCGGCACACGTACACCTGTGAGCGATATGAAGATGAACAGCCCTCTTCTTGTTTTGTCCCTCCTTCAACTTTTGGAACAACCTCTGTTCCAGAAGCGGGCTAGAACGCATAGTTTAGACCCCAAGGCAAGTACCATCTGGGACGTTGAGAGTTAATATAGCCTTAGGGAGCCGTAAAACAGGCAAGAAACCAGGTAAGGTGTTCACCTTCATATTGCCGGCGGGTGTACACGTTTAGGACTTGGGTCGCTCCAGCGTTGGTCGGTGCTTTACCGCCATGTTGCCAGAAGCTATATTTTAGAATTATCCCTCCTCTGATTGAGCATTGTGGGAGTCGGGTACTTCAAAGAGTGGCAACATGGGACACCATATACTAAAGACGCAGACGGTGACGGCTAGGAGCACAAGTGATTAGCTACGAAAGCCGCTTCCAATGCACAGCCTACCGGGTGAGTCAGCTCCGTCCAAAGCTTGAATCTCGTTCCCAGCGGCCGTCATGTTGTAAGCAAAGGTAAAGCGCATGATACAGCTCCACCATCCACCGCAGCGTTTGCCACGGCCGAATTCCGTCATTGCAAGTTGCAACAAAAAAAAAAAAAAAAAAAAGCTACATTTTGAAAGAAATATAGCGTATGGCCACCCTACCTTATGTTCGTATTTTACTAAGGTCTACACTCTCCATTCTCTTCAGTCTCATCTGGAATACTTCTCTCGGTATTTCGCAGGCGAACCGCTCATCATGACAACAACGGATTTGCGAAACGACGCGCCAGCTGGAGTCATCTACCGACTGGAAACGCCCCACTGTAACTCGACTTGGAAAGACCCAGGTGTGACTTTGTTACTCGTTATTTTGATAAAGAACGAATAAAAAACTGTTTTAAAACTATTCTGTAACTGTTTAGTAGTTACCAGAGTTCGTATCCATGGTTTATCGCTGCCAAATGATGATAATCAATTCCAAAGTAGCGCTTGTTTGACATAGAAAGTAACGGTATTTCTCTACGTTTGCAGGACTGTAAGGAACCGCAGGAACGTGTTAGGTTTTGACGAACTAGCGAATGATATTTTGTGAAATATTTTAGGTAACGTTTTAGGTATCAATCATGATAACGAGAGGAGAAAGACCTAAGATAATAGTGTTGTGTGTATGTTTAGTCAGCAGGAAGTCAGACAGAACCAGCGGGCTTCCGGTGTCTCTGCCGTAGATATGAAATTTAGCCGGGGCAGTACCAGTGCCAGCCAATGGACTTCAAGGTGAATCACGCAGCGGTGATACACGACCGCACGCCGGTACCAAACGCTCTCTCTAACCTGCATTATGCTTTGAAATGTGTGTATGCTAGCGGCGCTTTTTGTACAGAAGAGCCCATAGAAAATGAGACAAACACACAGAAAAACCCTGAGTCTGTCCTCGTTTCTAAACTCAGCAAGGGACTTTATAATTGTTAATTTATCTTCTTGTTGCGGGGACGTCCATCTCGCTCTGGGCCGATAAATGGAGGGACACTTTAATGCGCCTCTACTGCCTTCTTTCATGCGCTCTGTAAAATTGGGCAAGTGCGCTTTCCCGCAGAGCACTGGGGAGAGTCAATCGCTGCAACTCGCGGAATAGAGCTCGGCCAATAACGAGATTGAAAGTATTTCTAGACCTCAAACCAAAGAGTTCGCGTTGTGGTGACACCGTGCATGACGTTTTACGTGGCTGCGCTACGCTATAGGTGCTCAGCACAAACTGTTTTAACGTAGAACGGTTTTTGCCCAGGTTCGGCCTATCATGAAGCCAAAAAGTGAAGCCTGGATAAAAACGTAGCCGCGAGGGTCTATACTCCGTTCCACTTTAGGGCCGGCCTAAGCCGAAGCTACGACCCGGTGAAGTCAATCAAGAGTGATATAGCAAACCCACAAAGACAACGGGCGTCATGGCGATGCCCTTTTTCCGCTCCTTGATTGTCTTCATTGGACCTGTGATTGGACTTTGAAGTGAAACGGAGTATGGAGGATGTGCTGTGCAGCTGAAAGAGATGTGGGGATAGGGGAGCCGTGAATCAAGGGGAATTTGTTTTTTTTGTTTGTTTTTTGTTTCGCCCACAGGAAGCAACTCAGCTCACCTGGGCCCGGGAGACACGCTAACGATCGTCTTCTTGTGGCTTCTCGCGTTCAGCAACCTGCTGCTTGGCGGTACCTCAGCCCTCATACGCTGATGGCCGGTGAATCGTCTATGCACGGGGAATGTCCCTGAGAATCTCGTTTACGCTAAGCCAACATTTAGCTACTTAACCTTTTGACAGTCGAAGTTTTTTCCCCAAATAATGCTTTGCAGTGATTCAGTTTTGTTTCCAAAAAAATATTATTAAACAAAAAAATTCAATTCACAGTTTTTTTTTCTTAATTACCTGGCGGAAGTACATACAGTGCTTCTCAATTTGTTCAGGTATTGAAGCATCGAATGAAACTGTCGAAGACGGAAAGTTGTAACGTTTCTTTCTTTCGGTTTTATTTTTGCGCATCATGCTACGGGCGACATTCCGGCGGTTTCAGATTCCGAACCGGAATTGCAAGCAGTGAAACCGGAGATGCTTTAGAGAAGCATCAGAAGCCTGTATCGGAAGGCCAGAAAAGGACATGTCGCTGGACAAGCGGAATATTGTTCTGGCTACCAGAAACCTGCTGTTTGTTTATGTATGTATGTGTGTATGTGCGTGCTGCCGTTTTTTGGTGAACGTTGTTGGTGTTTGTCGAGGCAATGTGTCAAATCTATGAAAAACCATCTTACCCCTATTTTTCATTCGCGGTAACGGCTTAGCCGAGCTGGAATAATACTTCCAAACTGCTTCATTAAACCCAGTAATACGTCTTTGATAGTTTATAGTGGTTCGCTATGTCTACGCTTCGACTGGCTACATTTAGCCATTGAAAGTTTATAAAACGGCAAAGAACGAAGCGAGAAGCTTGAAGCGTGAACCCTGCGCTTTTTACATCCTCAGGGATTGTTGCTACTGCGGGGGGGTATTCACCGGACGCTCTGTTTGAGTGCACTGTTCACTGGGCATGCTCAAAACGAACTCACATTTATAAGGTTACAAAACCGGCCGTCTCTATGGTGTGGAAGGCATGCTGCAAAAGCACCATGGAAGCTCGCCGTTAGCGCGCGCTCAGCACCTACGCAACCGCCAACGTTAGCTGTGACTAAACACCAATTACGTTTTTTTTATTTTTTTTTTTTTTTTGCAATGCGCGTTTATGGCATGTCTCTTACGAGTGGAACTGTCTGGTTATAACGTGGCGTGTGCGGCATCAAATGCTCAATAAAGCAACAAAAAAGAAACAACAAACATCGAGTGAGGAAAGCAGTCGGAATTCCAAGAACTCGCAGTCTAGAGATTATGACATAGACAAGCCATGGTAGAGAGGTGAGCGAACGAGACAGGGTTTTTATTTATTTGTGAACTTAATTAGCAACTTCGACACGTGGTCGTCGCGCTGCACAAAAACTGCAGGTGGCCCTAATGACCTCGTCGGCAAACATTCGACGAAAATCGTTATGATCTGATGCTGCCAGTCAAGCTGTGTCAAAAGCGCGTCGTCACGTCTCCCAATACCTTCGTGCGTATGCTATCGCCGGCCACGCCTCATCCATATGACTCTTTTAAGCACTACGATATGTAGCTGGACACGAGTGTAGCGTGCCCCACCTAACTTACATATCTCATTTAACCCTACATATCTCATTTAACGCCTACAGCTTGCGGCACGACTTATCCATGGACTCTTCCTCAAAGTGGAACTATATCCGTGGCATTCGTACGTTGAAACACCGACACAGCCAGTACTTAAAAGGAAGCTAAAACACTTCTTTAAAAAAAAAAAAAAAGTTAGAGGTGAATTTTGACGTATTTTTATTCCATGGACCTGAATATCTCCTTCGTTTTCCCCGAAGATGTAACTAGACTCGAGAAAACCCGAAAATCCTCCGACCAGTCGTGACGTCATACTAGAATCTTTGGGCCACCAAGCGCGTGTCGCTCGTGTGAGCAGCGCTGGCAATCAGCTTGCCAGGTGTATTCCCCTGCACTAACGCCAGTCGTGACATCTCGTTTTGACCTTTTCGAAAATAGCAAGAGTGCGTGTGCATAGCTAGGACAGGCGCTGAAGAAGCGCGAGAGCGAAGATTCAAAAAACTCCTAATGTGACGTCACGCCCCGGGAAGGAGGGGCTTCAGCGGTACTTTGGAAATTAATTTCTGCAGCCTCCGTGCTCCAAATTGAAAAAAAAAAAAAAAATAATCTCGATATTCGTGATTCTGGAGGCCAAATAAAAACGATTTAGGTCCTTTTAACTACTTCGTACGAGTTGATGTACACATAAAACCCGTGGCTCCTAAATAAACTAGAACGGTTTTCGTAACATCGTAATAACTGCAACTGTTTGTTCTGTTGATGTTTTTTTTTTCGTATCCATTTTCGACACATGTTAGCTATCTTTTCGCTGTTGTTGTTTTTGTTGTAGCTCGTTTTACCAAGAAGACGGGAGACCAGAACTTGGCAAGCCAACAACTGTTGGTTTTTATTGTCTCCCTCCTGGCATCTGTACTAATAGAGATGCAAATAAAATGATCGATTGATTGGTTCACTGACTGGCTAAACCAATCACGCACAGAAAAAAGCGTAGGCTCGAGGCGCATTCACTGTTCATGATTGGTCTAGTCGGTAATATGAAACGTGCAAAGGCGGCGAGCGCCATGACGATGCACTTTTGGCGCTGCTCTCTACGGAGCGCAAGTTCGTCTGCTTCTTTTGCGGGGGTTGTTTGTAACGTCAGAACACCGAGCTTTGATTGGCCCTGATTGAGGGATAGTGGGTAGTCCTCAAGGCACGTCATAACGCCGATCTCCGATTGGCTCTGGTTGAAGAATACTGGGTAGACCTCAAAGCGAGCTTCCTTGAGGTCTACCCACTGTCCTTCAATCAGAGCCAATCGGAGCTCGGCGTCTTTCTGACGTCACCACAACCCCTGCAAACGAAGCAGACGAACTTGCGGAGCGTCGGATCGGGCACGTCGTCTGTCAGTCAGTCGGTCTTTATTCAATTCGAGTAAAACATTTAATATGCTGCAGTCGCATCTGGATCCTGTGACTATTTGGCTATAGTTAGGAATCCATATACCTATATACACAAAAGAGGAATGCCGCTTTATCCTGGCAGGTCATCCTTGTGCCGCGCCAATAAAATTCAACTAATTATGTTATCTTTTCATAACATTTTTAATACAGTTGGTATGCACGATCTCGTTTCTTTTATGTGCCGGCTTAATGAGTTGTAACGTTTTGTATTCGTATACTGCGTTAACCGTTTAGCATATATCAGGCGCGTAGCCAGGATTTTGTGTCGGGGGGGGGGGGGGGGGGCGCCCATGACAAAATGCTGTATGAGGGGGACGGGGGAGAGGCGGCCACAGCAAAAATGAAAGATTCGCATGCCCCCCCCCCCCCCCCCCCCCCCCCTTGGCTACATGCCTGGCATATATGCATTGTTATAAGGTGGAGTATTAACATTAATTATTATAACGTTTTTCCTGACTCCACCTGATTGTATTATTGCCTGGGCACCTGAATTACTTTTATAGTCTCTTAAAGGTGTACTGGACTGAAATTCTGGGCTCACAAAACAAGGTTGGAGCTACAGGCGGAACGCTGCAAAACCTCCGAAACATCACTCATACCGCGATATATCTCACAGTTGGCTGTATCTTCGGAAAAGTGCGCAACTGAACACGGCCGACGAGACATGGCACGTCTCGATTCTCACTCCCTCTCCTCTTCGCTTCGTCCCCTCGTGCAGGTGAACCGAAGCAAGGAGTAGAGAAGGAAGGCCTCTTCCCCTCATTCTCAACTGTACCAAGAGGATCGTGACGTCACAGTCCTCGCTTGATCGCGGTCATTTTTCCTAAAAATACGGCCATCCGTTTGAGATATGTCGATGCATGAACGATGTTTTGGAGTTACTAGCGTTTCGTTCAACGCTTCTGCCGCCTTATTTTGCGAAATTTGAATTTTGGTGAAGCATCTCTAACATCTTAAATGGCACTATTAGTTGTTTTTTTATTAAAGGAGATGAATTAGCGTTATGACTATTATATTATTCGCAATTCTCGCTTCTGAAGCGTTATAATCGCTTGTAAAAAAAAGTTTCATATCTAAATCCCCAAGATTCTACGCAATATTCTAGATGGCTGTAAAAATGCTAGTCTTTTTCATAGTTTTCGAATCAAAGTAATGCCTAATCTAAAATAACCCCTGAAAGGGGAAAAAAAAAAACACATTTTTTTTAAACAGTCGAGGTAGGACACGCGTGTCAAGAAATAAATTTTACGCAAAAAAAATTATTGCAATATTGACGGCGCGGGATTTATTTTAAATTCTGGGCGCAAAGTTCATGACGTCACGGAAAGGCCATATACTCTTTCCACCTCAACGAGATGGTCATACACTCTCTCCACTTCAACGTGATGGCCAAGCCGATCCACCTCTCCTCTACGTGCCCGAAATGCCGAGGGGGGAAACAAGTGGAAAGGAGGTGTCTACCGGCTATATCGCGTCTCGCACTATCAATATTGCTCCAAACATTTTTTTTGCTTAAAATTTATTTTTTAACGCGCTTGTCCTAACCACGTTGTTTAAAATAAACTTTTTTTTTTTTTCAGTGGCCCTTAGGTAATCTTTAAATCGAATATCCCTATTTTTCACATGCTGTTGAAAGGAGAATCAAGAGTCACTCCTAGATATTTAATAGTTTCTACATTTTGGATGCACCCATCTCTCAAATTTATATATTGTGCCTCTTTCGGCATGATGTTGTATGGGGAAGTGAACCCTATATATTTTGTTTTTTGATGGTTTAATCATAGCTTATTTTTTCGTACTAATTATCAATCTGTTTAAGCTCCTGATTAATTTCTACTTCAAATAAATCCCAAGAGTTCTCAGATGCGAATAATACTGCATTATCTGCGTACATTACTGTATCTGATTTTCTCAGTAAATCATTTATATAGAGGGAAAAGAGAATCGATCCCAGCACGGATCCCTACGGCGCTCCTGCTAACACCGTCTCACTGGTAGAGTACTGACCCCCGATACAGACCAGCTGAAAGCATGATGACAAATAACTCCTAAATCTAAAAAAAAAACAAAAAAAAACACGGAACTTGTATTTTTTTTTTTTTTAATTTTCCGATTAGTATTTTTTGATGAACGGTAACAAAATATTTTTTATATATAAAAATGCCAACTGTTTTTTTATTGTTATTTGATGGTCGAGTTGGTGAATTGACTTACATCTATTAGTTTTTCATATATAGTGTTTATACTTCGTAATACTGAAATTGGTCGGTAGTTGGACAGTTGGTTTTTGATTCTTTTTTTCTGTATATTGGTATTACTCTTAGTACGCTTAGCATGACTTGTAAAGTGCCACTATAAACCACTTGGTTAAATATTTTTTTTCTAGAGGTTTACTAAGAATATCGATATTGTCCTTCATAATGTAGATAGATATACAATCGTTCGTGAGCGTCTTATCCCCTGGCATTGTTTTTTTTTTTACCACCATTATCATCTCCCATCACTTGCTATATCATAAAAATCAAAAATAATGTGGAACTGGGCTTGTAAGGTCATTTACTGTTCGTTCGTCAGGAGTACCTGCCAGTACACTGCCTATCGTGAAAACAAAATATTTATTATATTTTCTTCCAAGGTCACATTGATTTTCAGAGTCCGGTAGCCCCAATTTTCGGTAAGATTGGACTTTGTACAGTAGGCATAATCATAGGCGTAGACTACAGGGGGGCATCAGGGCTCGTGCCCCCCCTCCCCCCTGCCCCCTTGGTGGGATCCGGGAGGGGAAGAAGCAGAGCCCCCCCCCCCCCCCCCCCCCCCCCCCGCCCCCCGGACCATGATCCTTACCGAGACGCTCTGTACGTGCCATGTAACGAGCTTCTAGTAGTGACATGTAAACAAAATAACGCACACAGCGACGGACACATGGCGATATACATAGGCTGTAAAATGTACCCCCTAAAATACACTACGGATAATTGCCGGTGTAAAAAAAAATTGCGCGAAAGCAGAGGCCCCCCCCCCCCCAGAGGACTGCTGGGCATTATGATATAATTTATAATGGACCATACCTGTTTTGTATCATTTCCACACTTTTGCTATCATACTACAGTTAGTATTTTTTTTTTCCTGCTTCGTATATGAGTGGTTTACATATTTCGGTGTACTTTAAAGAGGTGTGGTCGGACTTCAAGTGAAACGGAGTATAGAAATATCAAACACCTTTCTCTAAAGAAATCTAGAGCTTCTTCTCTCATAAGTGCTCTGCAGGAAAGTACACGCTTGGATTTTTTAAATAAAAAAAGCAAAAACAGGTTGCGATCTGACACTGGGTGTAACTCTTTATAGGTATAAAAATCCTAGCGCAGACTGTTTTTAGAGATCTAAAATATATCCGGCCTCCGGTCATTCTCGGAGTTCCCCCCTTAATGGTTGCAGCGATTAACCATCCCTTGTAGTTCTTTTTTGTAGAAAAGTAGATGCTTTAATTTTCTTGAAGTGTTTTAGCAAGTTTTTTTTTACCGATTGAACACAGTATAGTACATGTTTGTGAACAAGCTGTACGCTGCAAAAATTTGTTCATGTCACCAAGAAAAGCTGGTTTCTTTCTTCGTTTTCCTTGAAGAAACTCGAAAGTTGTCGCTCTACTAATAAAATACTAGATGTGACAGCATACAGAAAACAAATTTCGCGTAGTGATATCTGCTTTAGATGAACTTGGGTCTTTTACTAATTAGTGGCATGTCTTCTTTCTTCAGAAACAATGAAGAGGAAAAAAAAAAGAAGTTATGTCCGACTTGTGACACTCGTATATAACAGGTCTAAAGGCCAATTGCGATATAGGTACGGTGGAGGGTTTATTGTAGGCTATCTGCCTTGAAACACGATTACGTCGGAACGACGATCCAAGCAAGCAGACTTGCGGGCTTGGAGGCTTTGGTGAAGTGTTCATTTTCATAACTGAATATGCACAGTAATGCGACATAGCCAATTTTCAACTAAGCTTGCAAAAAAAAAATTACTAAGTTCGTCTTTATATTCAAAATCTTTGCATTTTGTAGAGGACAAGAAGGGAACAAACAAGACGATTTCATTTGTCATAAATGCGATGCAGTTTTTATTTCGCATGGAAGATGTCGATGATCATATGTACAGAGAGCGTAGACAACTCCAACAAATTGTCACAACAGATCTTGAACTTCGTTTCTTTCTGGTTTTGATGGCAGGACACGCGTTCTCGTGTTGTGACTAGAAGGAACACGATTTCGTACGACGGATGGGTATTTTGGTACTCGTGCCAGTTGAATGATGAATTTCTGTTTCTTATTTACAATTCTATATACAATGAAGAGTTACTTCTCAAATGCCGTTGTATCTACAATGCTACAGTCTTCATTGCGACGGCTTAATGCGGTCGTAATAAATTTTCAAAGGGCCCACGAAATGATGTTTGTTCATAAATAAAGATTGTACGAATCTGCACACTGGTCATGCCCGAAAAAATGGTTCTTCCCAGGAAGCCTTAATGTTTGCCGCACAAATGAAATGACACACCTATATACATAATCTCAAAACTCCTGAAAGGGGTGGTAACAAGAGTTAATGGCTCAGTGTTTTTGTAAGTTGTGATACCGGGAAAGAGGCCTGCATAGCATTGTGATACTGACAACCGACACGACTAGCAAAACGACATTGCAGACGGCCATGGCTACCACGATGTAAATTGCTGTCTGCTTCGCTGCCATAGGACGCTCCGGCGAAGTTAACATTTCAGACAGTTTCGATGAGCCCAACTGTTCTCGTTCGATTACAAAAGACTTAGATGAAGTGATGGCCATAGCCCGCCCGGAGATGGCTGGCTGGTAGATGGCCAAGGAGATGAGCTTGGACTCGACCAGCGGTACGATCTCTTGCCAAAAGGAAGTGGCTCGATCCAGCTTGGAACGCCTGGCAACGGAACGTCCTGTGGTGAAGTGCATCACGTGCTGGCTTTCTTGGTTGTACTCGGGCCAGTTGAGGTCATCGACCAGGCTTGGATTGCTGAAAGAAGGAATAAATAAGTTAGCGATGTTAGCTAAGCCTTTCTTCAAGGTTTAAGTGGTACACCAGTGAAAGACCGCGCGAAAAGAATGACGCAAAGATGCTTACCTTTTGAGAGCAAAGCTTCCAAGGGAGAGGGACATCCTTTTGCTGAGGAGCGCCTCCTGTTTGGTAATATCACGCTGCTTGAGGACAAGACCCATGGAGAAGACGACGTCGTCACCGTGCGCAGCGCCTAGAAAGTCCGGTTGTGCCGAGAAAGATGGCCGGTGGGCAAACTGGTACAGGTAGACCGACCCTCTTTTGTGCTGGGACAGGAGCCTGGCCATCTGTTCCGCTTGGGATGCGATGTACATATCACCGCAGAAGTAGACGTACTGTGAGCGCAGGCCTTCCTTGGCGTGCTGGTAGCGGTACTCGTGGAGGACGAGCTTGGCGAGGGCTTCGTGCTCGTTCTTAGTGAAGTCGTGCACATGGTAGCGAACCATCTCGTCGAGATCTTCGATCGTCAGCTGATCCTTGACAAGGCGGTTGTAGAAGTTGGACTGGAGGTGCTGCAGCGTGAGCAAGCACAACGACCCTTCGTGTTGGTTTGTACCAATGATGACGTCAACCGCTTGGTGGCGGCCCTTCTTGACAGCTGCCATGGGTTCTTCGACAATCAGTTCGCCATCAAAGATGGGTCGGAAGGACAGCCCGGTGCGGAGCGAGTTGTTGAGCAGTTCTGCAGCAGGGACGCCTTGAAGACAGGTGACCATGTCGGCCACAGAGTCTCTATGGCAACCGACTGCGTGAGCGAGTTTGCTGGTGACGTTCAGGGGTGCAGAGTCGAAGACATAGTCACCGACGGCAATACCGCTCTGCAAGACGACCTTCTCGAAAAGCCTTTCTTTGATGGGACTTGCCAGGTGGATGCTGGCGCTCATGGAACCCGTGAAGCGGCCCATTAGTGTCACCTTGCCGGGGTTCCCGCCGAAGTGCGCGACGTTCCTCTTCACCCACTTGAGAGCCATGCGCTGATCCAAGAGCCCAACGTTGCCAGGAGCGTCGGCGGTGAGCGCGCTGAGGAAACCGAATGCCGAGACACGGTAGTTGACCGTCACCACGATGACCTTCCCCTGCAGGGCCAGGTAGCTGCCGTCAAAGTGACGAGCCATGGCGTAATCGAAGCCTTCTCCGGGCAGCCAAACAATCACCGGCAGTCGGTCGGTGACCTTCACCTCGGGAACGTAAACATTGAGCGTGAGGCAGTCCTCGCTCATCTCGTCCGAGTCTGTGTCCAGGAATTCGCTGATGACCTCCTTCATGTGCGGCGGCTGGTAGCAGGACGGTCCGTGCCGGCTCGAGTCCAGGCGTCTGCTGGCGGCATCTTCTCCGAGGGCAAAGGGTGGGGCGAACCGCAGCTGGCCGATGGGGGACTGTGCGTACGGCACGCCCAGGAACTGCCGAACGTAACCCAGGTTGGAGACCTTGGTGCGGACGCCATTGAGAAGTCCGGAGGACGTCTGCACGGACTGGTCACTGGCCGTCGTGAAGACGGAAGAGGCACCGAGGAGGGCAAGCACGAGGGCAAATCGCATGGTGGCTTTTCTTTCTGGCAGAGGAGCCAAGAAAGCTAAGAGATGTTCTGGTCGAGTCGGCGAACGCCGCTGCCTTATAAAGCCGGTTGTGGGGGAGGGGGCGCGAGGGAGGGTATCTTGGGGAGGGACCGGCTTTTGAATACGATACGCTGTTATCGCGGGGGGGGGGGGGGGGGGGGGAGGTCGGTGACAATACGTAGCGTATGAAGTGCTACGTGCCGCCGTGACGTCAGGTCGCGGTGGCAGCGCCCTGTCGGTTTTTTTTTTCTTTTCAAGTGCGCTTAGGGTTTTTTTGCACATGAGTAATCACAGTGGTTTTCTTTTTCGGTGGAACAACATCTAAGAGGGCTCAACGCCCGCTGTGAAAAATATTTCCACTTCATCTGCTTGATCAGTGCACGTTTACCTTTCCTGTGCAGTTTTTTTTTTTCTTTGGGGGGGGGGGGGGGGAGATTGATGCGGAATTTAGTTTTCTGTGCATTATAATACTTTGAATAGCTTATGCATTGTTTTGTGTCTCTACAAAGTGTGCAATTTGTCTTCGAATCACTTGCACTGATAGTTGCCCTGCTAGAGATTTTAAAAAAGCCTTTGAGGAAGGCACATAACATGCTCTATGACATTAAAATGATCTATGGGCCTAGTGCTCTATGACACTGAAATACACTCTAACTTTACTTTTTTTTTTTTGCGTCTTTTAGTTTTGACCTTTAGGGTTCGCGCACTAGTGAAAACGTTTAGCATGACTCAATATTTCACTAGTTTGGCACTGCTACAAGTTCAGTGGTTTCAAACCTTTCGATAGATGGCGTTAAAGCTTGAAGAGTGATAGTTTGGGTACTGTAGACATTTTTATGACCAAAAATGGATTTGATTTTAACATATGCTGCAGTCATTTGCCTTTAGATATAGTTGTTAAGAGGTTCAGTATGAGAGGTATCTTTATCTGGGGGTCATAAAAGGTGGTCGAATTCGTTTTTACTTGTTAGCTGCATCAGAGTGACGCCACAGCCCTACGCTGTTATATAATGTGAGTTTCAGAAATACTGTGCAGTTTCGAATAGTCTTCCAAGCACGTCTTCCGATCGAGTCGCTGCTGCTTCTGCGGTGTCGATTGAGCTAGACACTATACAAATAGATATCTGCAATTATACTAAACCACAGCGTCGTGTAGTCAAAGTTCAACAATCCTCACAGCTTGAAAAAAAAAAAAAAAACTTCTAAAAACGCACATCGCTCCTGTGAAGCTTGTCGTTTCTTCGAATTTTGGTGTTTAAAGAGCACTCGGCGTTATCAGGGTGGCTGCCCCAACTTCTCGTGAAGCGAACCCAGAGGCAACAACCCAGCGTACCGAGAAATCCGTTGGCCGGTGTCGAGATCCATTCACGCGCTCGGACATGTGCGAGAGAAACAAGACAGATTTCGTGGAACTTGGGCTCACAGCATGCCATCTTTGTCTTACACAAGGTTTAAGCCCGTGCAACGCAAGATCTTTGGTTGTTTGCTGAGACTTATCTGTATGTCTTGTACGTTAGCTCATTGTAAGCGTCAAATCAGAAATTTTTAGCAAACAGTTACCGTGTTTCGCGCGCGCCAGGGTGATACCGTGACCGCGGTGGCGCGCGCTTGAAAGCATGCTTCAAGGGCTCTGGTAGTGCGGTACGCGGAACACGGTAACGGTTTGCTAACAAGTCCCTGTTCTCAAAAGACGTTAAAGACACTAGGGAGTTTTAGAATAACGTACCCAATTTTAGCGCACGCTAGCGCTAAGATTGAGCGCTTGTATCAGCGCACGCGGCGCAAGAGAGTTTTAGAATAGCGTTTCTCCGTCGCGACGCAAAAGCCTAGGCATCTCGCGCTTGCGACGCCACCAAGATACAGTCACAATTTTTATTTCACACACAAAACGCTGTAACTTCATAAAAAAACAAGTTTTCTGGTCCAGAGTATCATTTTAGATTTGTTTAAACGTGAGAATGCGACGCGAGCGGTTGACCGGTCGTGTCCGCTTGCGTCGCCTCGGCAAGAGAGGTCTCGTGTACTGACCTTCGCACATCGTACCTTCGCCGAGAAATGTTCGCGCGTCGCAAGCATAAAGTTGCCGGTGATTATTGCCAAACGGAGCACAATGTCTTCCCGTATTCAAAATCGCAGTCGCGAGGATGCTGCCGACGTAGGGCTCACGACGCCGCCAAAGCAGCCGCCGACATAATCCTGGAAGCCGCCATTTTTTAACTCTGCTCGTCTTGACATTAGCCAACTTCTCATCACGAACACTCCTTGGAGAAGCGCATCGGCTCTTTGCGTACGCACGCTATTTCCGAGAAATAGCGCACGCTGAAATTGCGCGCGCAAAGCGCAAAACCTGGTTTGCGTTCGGAGCATGCGCAGTGGCGACGACACTATTCTTTGCGTACGCAAAGCTTTAGCGTGCGCTGTATTAAAACTCCCTATTATCTCACGCGAGGAACCACGTGTCTGATACGACTCTGATACTTTAGCCACTAAATGTAAGGTTGATGTGGATCTTGATATTATTAAAGACTGAACGCAGGCTCTCCAGTGATCCAGCCCCAAGATGCATTGTTATAGTCAAGCCCCTTAAAGGCACTGTCTCACGCAAAGGATCAGGCGTTCCCGGCCGCGACAGGTAAGGTTCTCTGGTATATTTGACACAAAATCTAAGGTTGATGTGGACGTTGATAACGATCGGAACTAAGATCATCCGGTGACTCAGACACACGATGCATTGCTTTTGCAAACACATTAAAGACAGGACGACGCACATCAGGCCGGGCCAGATAAATTTCTTTGTTATATCTGACACAAAATATAAGGTTGATGTGGACGGTGATATTGCCAAACGGTTGAGCTCAGACTTTCTTGTGACACAGACCCATGATGCATCGCTGATTGCTCGAGTGCCTTGTTTTGATTGTTTCTGGGCTACACAAGGCCGAGAGATTGTCCCCTGCAATCGGTAGGCAAGGCAAGCATGCGGTGGTCACGCTAGATGTCACCAGCAGCTCTACGCGTTGTTGGGCGTAAACGTCGCGTCAAACTCGCTCTTTCTCTCTCCCCCCCCCCCCCCCCCCCCCCCTCCTCCCCGAAAGTCTTTTGCAGATGGTTCATGGAGGCGCCCCTTAGCGAAAACTAATACGTTTGAAATATACCACATTCTAATTTGAGTATATTTGAAATACAGTTCATAATTTTAAGTACACAAAAAATAGACCGAAAATATAAACTTCTTTTTTTTTTACTTAGTACTAAAATATACTTCTAAAATCATTTTAAAATACCTTTACTTAAACTACATTTGAAGTTCCCCTCATGCGTTTTGAAATATGTAAATACTAAATTAATAGGCACAAAATACCTTTCACGTATATTTCTTGAAATATTTATTTAATTCATGCAAAATATACTCCAACCCTAAAAAAATGGAGCAATCAAAAATACGTGCAGAATACTCGTAAAATACCTGAAAATCGTAAATACTGTTGTGTTATACTCGAAGTACCTTTTGACTTCAATACTTTGGTAGTTTGACTTAAACTACCAAAATATTAAAAAGCTCCCCTTATAGAAGTTCACTTCAAGTAGATATGGAGTACACTGAAGCGCCTAAATACAACATTTGATTAGTTTGTCAACTGAATTGCGGAGCATCGCACTGATAAATCAGCCCAGTTTATGTTATTGTTTCCTTTTTTCTATCAAGGACACACCTGATCAGTTCCTTGCACACCAATCACAAACGGGGTTCGGGGACTACAACTACAATATTTGCTGATGCTGGAAAGCTTCAGCAGGTGCTGTGACCAGATACGTTTGGAGTGGTTTTGTTAGCACAATGTTAGTTCACTGAACGTGTATACTCACCATTGTACGTGATGTGAATAGTGACTTTAATATAGTGATATTAACTACCATATTAAATAGTCAACTACTAAAATGGAAATGCAAAACAACTACTGTAAAATATTTATTTTTTGCGGGCTCAATTTCGCGATTTAGGTCAAAGTTGGAGTTTTGGAATAATTCGCAAATTCTAATTTTCGCGACGCGCTGAGATCGCAATATAGATTTTAATATTTTTGCATTTTTCCGGAATTGTTCTCGGGACCTATTTTTCGAAATTGTAGGCGATTCGCGAACTTTGCGAGAATTAGGTCCTCACGAAAATAAAGTCGTTTACAGTATTTTAATGTGAAGATTATGCCTTGATTTGCTTCGTCCTGAGTGGTGCTACGCAGAGAAGCAATAAGATGTGTTTTATGAGCCGTTTGTGTGGATATTGTTTTAAGGACTGCGCCGAATTGTTATTAGTTGTACCAATGCCTTTTACTAAGAGATATCGTCCACGAACTTCAAAACACTGTTTCCCCTTTGACAGACTCCCGAGGAGAAGATCGAATACTTGGAACCTTAATAAGCGCAGAGGTGGTCACCGAAAAAATGATTACCTTCAATATGTAGGCTATATAAGGCTCTAGAGCAGTCAACGGGACTGTGAATGGGCTGTTCAGTGCGTCATGGTGTTTGTGTTTGTGTTCGTTTCTAATGTACCTTGGTGAGATGTATCTAGTAGTGCCTTCAAATACCACAGGGACACCATTTGCTGACAAAATCGAAAATAAAAAAAAAATGTCTAGCCGGTTTTTAATGCACAAATGGCATCTTGAGTGTGAAGGGATAATATTTTTGGTATATCTAAAATATTTTTTTATTCATATTTATAATGTATTTTGAATACATTACGCGCGTATTTCGAATGCGGCCAAAATAATACAGAATAAATACAAAATGAATATTCGTACTAAATATATTTCAACTACGTTTGAAGTACGGCCTCTTTTTGCTAAGGGGCGAATGGATCTAAGCGTCTTCAGCTTCGTAGCTCAGAGGACGAGCGTACACTGATAGGTATCAAGGTCCCCAATGACCGTTCCCGAGAAAGCTCTATGACCGATAAGGCGCGGACCTACGAGGCGCCGTTAAGATCAACAACGCTAAGGCCATGGGAACGGCGCCAGAAGGC